TACCTGGATTTCGCTCTAAGGCTTGAATCTACAAAGACAAGGGTAATCAATTTTATCAATTATTTCTAGAAATCGCAAAAAGAAATATTTAATTGGAATTCATTTTGTAATGTATCTGTAACTAATTTAAAAAATTTTGCCCATTATTATTGAGTGTAGGTTTTTTATCTTGAGTGTAACCCTCAAAATTAAGCCTCTTGCACATAAAACTAACTGTTCACTAACAAGAATAAAAATAAGAAGAAGATAGAAAAAGTACACTTTTTGAGTAAACAGGAAGAAAAATGAATTGCATAGTGAGGCATTGTTGCTACAAACTCACCACATTGTTTAAGAAACAGTTGAGTGCAATAGGTTCATATGGACAAGAACTGGTCTGTATAACATCAGAAGATGCCAACAAATCTACGGCATCTTTGGAGCTCAACCATTCTGGTGGATCCTGAGTTTTTTCATTAGAAATTGTGCTGCAAACATCCACAAACTTGCCCCAGCTTTCTTGCAAGCTGTCAAAAGAAGAGGAACTTATTTCACCATTCATAGTACTAACACACAAAACACTATGTCTGGACACAAAGGCGCACATTACAGGGGTTCAACCAGTAACAAGGATCAGGGAATTCTCCAGCTTCATTTCAATGGTCTGAGGTATTTTCATTCTGTAATAGGCTTATATTATCCAAGCAACTTACACTATTCCTTTGCTTCCACATTTCTAAATTAAGACCCTAGCTGTTAACCATTTAACTCCCAAGATCTAATTATTAATTCTTACCTCTATTTGCTACAAATTTCCTTATAAATTAGTTTTGAGAACTTGGTGCTAGATCAAGATAGCAGCTTCTACTTGACAAGTTTGAATATTCTCATTACCTGTTTGCTGAATAATGTATGGATATTATAGGGAGAAGTTTCATGTTAATCACTTGTAGGAGTTAAAGGGTTAAAGAAAAATGCAAGTGAAGCCAGGAGGTGCTGTAGATTTTTACTACATGAATATTATTAAGTTATATTCATAGTGTAAATCATTAGAATGACTGAGGTTTTCACAACAAGCAAGTCGACGAAAATGTAAATTAATTTGTTTGATCAAGAAGATAGGACCACATCTGTACTTCGTGAAAACCGCCTAAAGAGGAATCGATCTCCTTGAAATCTTACCTTGCCGTATTTTCTTCTAATCGAGCATCAAGTTTCTGAATTGCATCCCTGATGGATCCGACATCCAGCGATGAAAAGCTCAAACCATTTACCAGCAGTGACAACTCTTCAACTTGATGTTTCTTCACCTTCGTCTTCGGCTCTCTTTTCGGCATCTTGAAGCGAGCACGAACATCAAAAATCGGCGCAAAAGTCACAGATGAGATTCTGTATCGCTTAACGACTAGAAGCGAGTCCTTTTTGCCTAAATCTCAGCAGTGATAATAACCTGTACATTGACACGATTTCAATATGTTTGTATTCTTTTCACGAAGCTTTTTCGCGAGGCGCAGATGGTTTTGGTAAAAATTACCATACAAGGTTATCATTACCATATTTAACTTTATGGGCCCGAGTATCTCGCGGTAAATAAACACATGAAATAAACGCGGGAAATATTCTTGCAAATAAACGTAAACAAACCTCGCGATATTTCATCGCGCGCGACCTTTAATCGCTTTAAGTACGATTCCTTCAGCTGTTATTGAAACAACAAATTAATTAAATTGAAAGAGTAGTTCTGTGCACATTTCCTATGCACAGGCCTGAGGGGAGGACATGGTTGTGTGCAAGTCTTAGTGACTGTGTTGAAGTCGTAGTGCCTTAAAGTGACTAAGGATAACTGCTTAACTTCGATAGACTTACATTGGTTTTAGTCCTTGATAAATCTGAATGAATTATGCAAGGCTGAAAGTTAGTTCATAATTACCTAAACTTAAAAAAAATTGACTGCGGTAGCTTTGTATTAAGAATGTTACTAGCTAGATGGAATTGCACATACAAGTTATCGCAATCAGGTGAAAAAGAAGTAATCTATTTTCATCAGAAGTTGTGTATTAATTACTGGTAGCTACGTGTGTTAATACCAGCTTTTTACACTTTAGACAGATAATTTTAGACTTTAGATGCTAATTAATTCTGAGAATTTGGTATTGGATTAACTAATAATCCACTAATTGATGATAAGCAGACAGGCAGAAAACTTTGCATCAGCATATAGAGTTGTGTCCTTCACCAGAGAAACAATTATACAATCATCAAAACTGAAATGGTGCTGAAGACAAAGTTGTATCAAATCATCAGAACACCCACAAAAATATTTCAAATATCTTTGCCAAAGTTTGGTTATCCCTGGATGTAAGGGGATCCTTTAAGAAAAAACTTGGCACTCTTTCAAAAATCTCATACTTTGGAGTTAGTGGGAAGGGTGTTTATTAAATTTCGAGGGGCATGCATGATCCATTGGTGAGAACATGCAGAGCAGAGCGATTAACATTAGGCTGAACACCTTGATGTGGTATGATATGAATGCAGAATAACTTTGTTGCTTCTTTTCCTTATACTAATGGTCTTTGTTTATCAGTGTGATAGCCAGTCATTGTGTGTAAAATAAGCTTATGCTCCACTCTTGATGATGGGAGAATTTGTCAGCCAGGCTAAACACTTAACACCCTAACATCAGTATGCATATTCTCCATACTGTTTATTGTGCATTTTCTAAGGTGCTCACAACTAGAATTTCCTTGAAAATCAAGAGCTTCTCAAGTTGATCATTTTCTTGATTCATGTGACATAAATAAGTGATTCAGGGAGGATACTGTAAGGAGAAATTGGATGCCAGTCATTTTCAGGGGCTTAGGGTTAGGAAAACCATCACAATCAAGCTTGATTTACTCTGAGCTTTATTCTCTTGTAGAAAGCTCCTCTAAATTCCAATGTGCTGTCATGTCAAAGACTGTGCCTGAAACAAGTTGTTAAAAACACTCAATTATACTGTCAATGGTATGATAAAGTTATTATACATTATTTGAGATACTTTTTATAGACAACATGCAGTCCATGTTGATATGATTAAAAGGATTAAACCTACTTAGAAGGGATTCAAATGAGATCAACACATTTCCTTAATGAGATCCTGCTAATAGCACTTCTTTTTTCATTTTGCAGGCTGTATCTTTCACCTGTCTCTATTTGTCAGCTGAGAAGGATTCTCTTTTCATTTTGTAAAATATGTGCAGCCTTATTCTCTGTTTTGATCAAAGAATTACAGGATCATATTTCAATAAACTTCCCCTGGACACTCAATGGACTTCAATCTCTGTTAAAAGATTTCATGTACATAGTGCAGGTAGAATTGATGCCAAATATAGTTATAAGACGACGGTGGAAAATCGCCTCAACACTATCTTCAGATGATATCAAAAGAGCATCTACAGCCATTTATGAATTGGCAACATCTGTCTTATGCTCTTTACTGATCTGATCCTAACTGTAGGCACACCTAAAACCACATTACAATAGTCCTGTTGAATCTACACTCCTTGTTACATTATACAACTTTAACTGACCAGTACATTATTTGAAAGAGTTTTACCCCATCCCATTACTCGTGCAGATGAACATGCACAATAGTTTTATGTGCCAGGTTAAGAATACTCATCAAAATAAATAATCAAAGCTGAACATCAGCACCAGTTTAAAAATTAGCCATGACTTGTCACCTCTCATTAAACCGAAAATTGCCTGGTGCAAATGTCTCTAATTTTGTCATTACAATGACAAGATGTCTTTTTTCCAAAATGAACTGTTAGAATTTTAGATCATTTAGAATTAAAGGTGGCTAATTGAATTCTAAAATTAATTTCAAGGAACATTTAGCAGAGATAAGAGAGAACAAAAAAGCCCATAAGCTCAAAATAAAATCCACTGGAGAATTAATTTAATCATGTTCAACTCATAACTAAAAATCTAGGAACAACCATTACTTACAACCAAAGTCATTAAATATTAAAATTATCCCTAACCCTTTTACAGACATCTAAAATCAACCTTTTTAAAGTCATTTGTTTCTAATACTGTACCTACATTTTAATTTGTTGAGAAAAAAATTAAAAACAAAATTTTTTTTCTTTCTTTTGAAAATCAACAGTATGTTTGATTGGAAATAAAACAAAAGGATTTCGGAATAATTCTTTTGAATGTCACCATTATCTAAAATCGACTTAAAACATATAGCAAATTTTCACGATCTAAACAGTTAGTCACTTAATCACTTCTCTACTATACTATACAATTCTTTAGGATATTTTTTAATCCGAGAAATCTTTCTATAGCACTTGCAGTTTGAAGATTTCATCTCAGAAATAGTTTCTCAAATAAAAGAAATAATTCAAAACTCAAAGGTTCTCGTAACGGAAGTAGAGTTAATGGCAGAGTTAAATTGCACGAAATGTCGGCTTTAATCTCCTTTAAAAGAATCATGAGATTGGCCACTGATAAAGATTAAAGTTTAAGATATTAAATCGTACATAAAGAGCGAATTTTTTTCAAATGGTTACGATGATATGAAACTCTAAGAACATCTGAAAATCTACGATTGCTTTAATTATAACAAGTCTCAAAATTTTAATAATTAAATCAGCTAGGAGTAACTCAGAAAAGACCGAGAAGCCCTTAAAACCATTTCACAGTTCGCAAGGGAAACTTTGGCTTCAGCGAGTTGTCCAAAAATAGCGATTGCATCGACGACCAACCTCCGCCTTGCGAATTCACGAAAATGGTAGAAATCCATGTAATTTTAACAGGAAGGTCGGACAGCTGGTGCTAGTAAACATTAGAAACATATGCGGTCGCGACAAAATTTTCCAGGTTTCAAATCATATTTTGGGCTCTTCCTCAAAAATTTCAACGCTTACAGGCCTAATATAAGCAAAGGTTAAATAAATATCATGACAATAAAGGCTGTGTATGTTAAACACACGCCTTGCATACTTTGAAAAGGATATATCAAGCCATTATTTCTGCATCAAGAGGGGTCGTCACAAAGCAAATGCACAATTACATACAAGGCAAACCTCAATAAAGCCCAGTATTCTATAAACTGCCCTCTTCCATAAGCTTATTAAGATTGTCTACAATGTTTTTAAGGATAGTGCCGTAAGGTCCATCGCGGTTTGCTTGAAACACACGCTCTAACATTTCACCATTTGCATAGTAGTTAAAAACGTGATCAACCCTTCCATGCGATTTCGCTGTAAGGTGCCGATCGATAATTTGATGAATCAGGCTTCGGCAGTCCTCCAAGTTCTTGGTTAAAAATTTCTTATCGAAAGAGAAATCCACCTCGTAGAAACTAATAAAAGTCATGGCTGCAGATCGAAAGTTTCTCCTAAATTTCTCTGCTATTTGAATTTCCTCGCGGTTCAGTTGGTCATTTCGAAACAGTATGCTGATCTTGACGACAATTTTGACTAAGTCTTTCACGAGTTTTTCAGCTTCTTTCTTATTTCCTGTCTCCAGTTTCGCTAGCTTGTATAGCTGATCAAGCAGTTCGCCTGTGGTGTCATCCACGAAAGCTTTCGCCACATTTTTCGAGGCCATTTTGCCCAGGATTTTCTTCTGCGCTCGCAACGCAACGCTTTTCGAGTTAAATCCACTACCAGGTTCAGCTGCTTCGGCCATTTTGTTCTTACAATGATGGAAACACGTAAAAAGAACAGATTAATCTCCCCACTTGCACACAATAAACCTGCAGGGATACGTCTACTGCTATAAACAAATAGAAAGAAGAGCGGTTACTCTTGAAAGCTCATATCCACTAAGGCCATTTGCAAGCTGAAACACTTCTCGAGAGCGTTAAATACCTGAGTTCTAAAGGCTTCGCTAATGCTAGGTTTCCATGCAACCAGTTTCGTCCGTTTTATAATCAAAGTGTGAAGTAATTCGCTTTCTAAAGCCCTCGGGCAACGCAGCAATGCATGTACACAGTGTACTATGAAATCGAAATAAAATTCAGTGAGATTACTAAAGCCGAATGATTGACACGACAAAGACACGTGATTCTGTTATAAGTAAACTTTGTAATATTATAATATGAATATCATGCTTCTCATCATTGCTACCCTTGGGAATTATCTGCATTTATATTTGAAATCCAGACTTTACAGATAACTTTTCTTTTCATTGGCCATCGACATTTTGTAAACAACGTATCTTTCGTCCACGGCGTAAGAGACACCGAAGTCTCGCTTACAATTCGATTTGTTTACACTCGCTAATTGTTTTATGACCAAAACCGCAGTGATATTTCCCAAACCTGTCACAGTTGTCTCGGTGTGTCAATGAAGGAGATAAAGGTGTTGTCCTTTTCAGGTCCTTTGCCTGCCAATATTCAGTTCATTACAAGCCTTTTCTTTTCAAAGGCTGTCTCGACAATAATCAGAGGAAGGTCACAGCTGACAGGAAAAAAATACTTCGTTAATTGATCGCACGTCTATGAAGGAAATGTGATCAGATACAACAGAAATCATTTCTGGCCGGGTCATCTGCGGAAACGTTTATTAAGTTCGTGTTGTGGCTTGGGTGGTTGATCATTTCTTTGGTAGGGTGCCTAATTGTCACACCAGTTCTCAATTATTATCTAAATTTATCGATTGCTTTTAATAAGGCGCGATTGGGAAATTTTCCGATAAATCAAAACAGAAACACGCGATCACACCCATCGTTTTGAACTGTAAAATGGAGAATTTTTAGTGTCCAAAGATGGCCTCTCAATGACAAGACGGAGAAAAATTCTGTGTGTCATGTAGTCTGCTTGTGGGTGATCTGTTCAAGCGCGATCGAACACATTCCTTGGTTCCGTGTCGGCCATTATTCACGCGATTTTTACGTATTGCAAGCAGGTGACTGAGCTCGCCGGAAGCTGACAGTAACATGTGATGATTGGAATGACCTTGTCGGACGAGCGCTTACCAGCTGTCATTGACACTGCTGCCTTCGCTTTAACGTTGGTATCGTCACATTCAGGACACACCCATCAATCATTACTACCTCTCTAGAAGAAGATAAGATTACCAAGCTTTGCGTTCAACCTGCCTCCTTAGTCTCCTTCTTCATATGAAGGTAAAGAAATCTGTAACTGACCTTCATATCTTTACAACTCTTGTATCTCCAAGTTTTTAAAGGAATTTAACCTCACAATTGCAATTGTTATTGTAAATTGCTAAACAAGTTCGGAATAACGAACTGAAAAAAAAAAACAAAACAAAAAAAACTCGCAGACAACCCGAAGAGGGCTAAACAATTGCTCATCGGGGTTGTTAGTCAAGTGGTGTTAAATTCTAGCCTGGATTCTTTCACTTTTCTGAGTGTGCCCGCCGAAAGTTCAAAAAGACTGAATTGTTTGAAAGCTGATTAATACTAATCCAATCATCTTGATCATGCTGGCCATAAGCCTCGACCTCTATCGCGATCGCGGCTCCAGACAACTGGAATCTGAAAAAAAAACATGGATGTAAAGAGGAAGTGAAAATTTATTCAGTTATGTTAGGTATGGTTCTCTTCTTTATTCTATTCAACTATAAACATTACTCATATTATCATTATTACTAACTTCTCTTTTTTCTTTTTTTTCTCTCTTTTTCTGCTATCATTGACTTCTATTTCGCTCTAATGAAGGGCTGAAGCTCGAAACGTCAGCTTTTTTACCCTTTACGGTGGCCAATTTACGTTTTCAACTCAGTTGTTAACACCAAATTACCTGCTATACTCTCCCACCGATGCAGCACCACAGTATCTTTAGAAACTTACCCCTTTTATTCTATTTTGTTTGTTTGTTTGTTTTTAACCCTTTAACTCCCAAGATTTGGCTGTTAGTTCTCTCCTCTAGCTGCTACACATTTCCTCGTAAATAAGTCACGAGAATGTGGTGTTAGATCAAGACCACTAACTTCTTTCTGATAGGCTTGAGTGTTCTCATTACATGTTAGCTGGATGTGTGGATGTTATAGGGAGAAGTTACATTTAATCACTTCTGGGAGTTGAAGGGTTAAGGCTCTTGATAAATAGCAGCCAGAAATTGAGTATTTTTTTTGTGGCTCTCAAAAAATCATTTCTACATGTCTGATTGTTAATTGTCTCCTTTAGCTCCTACACATTTCCTTGTGAATTAGTTACAAGAATTTGGTGTTAGATCAAGATAACCACTTGTACTTGATGAGTTTAAGTATTCTCATTACTGCTTTGGTGATAATGTATGGATATTATAAGGGGAAGTTACATGTCAATCACTTCTAGGAATTAAAGCCTTAACTCATTGGTTCAGGTCAAATATGGCTGCATTTGCTCTTCAACAGTAAAAAGACATTAAAACTCACACTCCCTAATACATGAAATAGACAAATGTAAGTTATGTTTTAGCTGGCTTAGTATAATGTAATAAATTTTCCCAACTAAACATGGAGAAGAGCTTACAATAATTTCTGATTGGAGGGAAAATACAGTAGCTATTTGTATGATCAACAAATCTGATATGAACAGTGTTACCCACTTTCTAAAGTTAAAAATGTGCTATTTTAATGTCAGAGATGCATAATAGTTGCTTGAGGATGAGCCAATAGAAATTCTAGACTATCAAATACTCATGAAACTTTCAATAGGAGCTGAAGGGATGAAACAGAAAAGGGTTGTTTTTAACCTATTTTCCAAGCTAACCGTACAATAGAACACAGGTGACACTCTTCAAAACAAAACTAAAAGTAGAACACATAAATAACTTTATTGCAGCGTTCATTATCCAAGGTGGAAAGATGTGCAGCCAAAATTTAGACAATCCTATCAATTGGTGTTCTATGGGAGCAGCTCTTCAACACCTTGATAACACATTTATATTTCAGTTAGAGCGTATCATCTGCTGCTTTTAAAGTACGCTTTTTCAGTTAAACTTTCTTCCTGATATAAAGGTGTTAGACCATGGTTAATAATATCTCTCTTTTGTTTTAGATCATAATAATAAATAGATACAAGCTGAAAAAAGATCTTTATCAACAAAACTAAGCTACAAAGACAATTATTTTTCACTGTTTCACCCCTAGGATCTACATATCGAATATCCACACTGTTGGCTCAACTTTTCCTTGAACGTTGGCAGAAAAATTGGTGTCAAATTAAACATTATTTCTAAATTAGCTTTTTTCTGTCTTCTCATTACTTGCTGCTTGAAAATATACTGATATCTTGGGGTGAAATTTGTTTTAGGCAACTCATGGGAGTGAAAAAGTTAATTTATTACATACATGTAGATATATGTGTTCACAGTATGATTACTCAGATATACTGTTCTAAGAATATGTCAACATCTGTATATTCTTGTTGCCATTATCAACCTCAAAGCAAATAAGTAGATTCTCAAAGTTCTTGGTAAAAGCAACTTGCAAGGGAATATCCTCAAATTGAAGGTGGTGCAGAAGCTCCCCAGTTTGACTATATATGTTTACTGAAGGATTTCCACGGTCACAAACCACAATATTTCCCTGGGTATAATCAGCAGCAACACTGCATGGATGTTCCAAGCAACCTTTGGCAATCTCTTCGAGAAATATCCCACTCTTGTCAAAGACTACAATGCTCTCTTTCCCAGAATCAGCCACAAAAAATTTACCATTGAGAAATACTGCTTTTTGGGGTGATAAAAGAATCCCATCTCCAAATGACATTGTAAGTTTTTCTGATTGATTGTATACTAGAATGCAAGGTTCAGTATCTTCTTGAGTTTCTTCATAACATGGACTAGAGGTGATTACAAACCGTCCATGCATGTCAACAGATATAGATGTAAACTTCACATTATGTCTTGGAGGAGTCACAAATTTTTTCTGAAAGTTTCCATTCATATCATAATGCAAGATTCGGTTGCTTTCCCGATTTAACACAACTATCTCATTTTCATTTGAAACACCAATGTCCCACAAGTCACCATACATGATACGAAATCTCTTTGAATGTTCTCCTTCCTCATTGAAGATGTGAACATTTTTCAATTCTTCATCCAGTGCTACAAAATGGCCTGAATTCCTGGCCACTGCAACTGAGAAGGGGTTAAATTTTTGTAATTCACAAGTCAAGTTATCCACTGTCTGAATTAAAGTACCACAGTTTGAGAAGTCCATATTTCTCACATCAACAGGTGTATCAAAACAAACACCTGAGAAAACAGAAACTTCAGGAATCTCTTCAGCTGCTGAGGCAGAATCCAGATCTGCATCTGAAGCCGTGTTTATAAGCAGATTGCCTAACGAACAGTCATTCTGGAGAAACTTATCAACTGACTCAGTATTAGACAATGACACATCAAATGGATAAGTGAACTCACAGTTTGCCCAAAACTTTCGTGATTCCAAGGACTCCGAGAATTCGTGTAACTCTTCGATAAGGGCGTCTTTGAGATCTTTCAGATCGCTTACCTCACCATTATGCAGTATGTCCTCAACAGTCTGAATACAGCTTGTGGCATTTTCGCAAAGCTCCGTGGCATTGGATTTATGAGTTTCAAACGTTACCTCATTGCGATTCTGAGTCAATTTTTGATCAATTTCATCGAGTATTCTACTTTCGTGTTCCCGTACTTTTGTGATAACATCTTCGGCGATCGACTTTATCTTCTGTTTGATTTCTTGTGCTTTACTTCTGGAAGTAACATAGCGATCTTCCATATCCTTCAGAGCAGTTTCGGCACCTTCTAATTTACCTTTACAAGTTTTAAGAGCTTCTTTGATGGCCTCTTTCTCCTTTCGTCCAGGTGTACGCTCGATCAAGCGAACAATGAGGTGATTTTTTGGGAAAGCAGCAATACCGCCTTGAGGAATAGCGGACTCGATGCGACATACAGGACATTCTACAAAATCTGTCTTCTTCCTCAGCATTCCCTCAAGACAATGTTGACAGACATTGTGAGCGCAATTTGGAAGGCACTTAGGTTCTTCGAAGTCCTCCAAACAAATGGGACAACTGATTTCAAGTTCGACTGCCGCAACCACGTCGTTCAGCGTGGCGGTCGCCATTTTGTTTTGTCTCATCCCAAAGCAAACAAAGTAGTACGCATGATCAAGGAACCATGCCTCTTCTGACGCCTCGTCTGGAAGTGCAACGCGCCAAATACGACCATCCTGTTCCGTTGAGAACATTTTAAACAATAGTAGCCAGCAAGAGCAGGCGTAATTTTGGCAAGGGAGCACTCAGTATTTTCTTGGTGAAAAGTATAGCTGCTGTTTTTTATTTTTACAGCAGCAGTAGGCTGGAGAGAGAAGGAAATTTGGACCAAAGAGGGGAAGGGTGGTTCTTCTCGCCTTTCCCCGCCCCTACTCTAACTCCAAATCAAATATGGCTTGGTATAAATGTTGACTTACCCTCATGTAACGCTAACACTGCAGACTAGGAAAAAAGTCACGAGTTATTTTTGTCAAAGCTGTCTTGGAGTCTTGTATGTTTTTGTTTTGTTTTGTTTTGTTTTTTTTCTTGCTTTTGCTCGTTTTTGTCCGTATGTTAGTTTAT